GTTTTCAGCAAACATACTGAAAATTGATGAAAAAATTTACATTTCCCTTTCTTTCCCCATCAGAAAAGCAGAGGTTGCTGGGTTGCTTTAGATCAGAACAACTGCTGTTTCCTAACCACATCCTTATGGATATCAACACCTGTGCCAGGAACAGACTCAGAAAACCACTCTCTACTGCCAGAGGGAGACTGGAAAACACCCAGGATTCATCAGGGAATGGGGAGACATCTGAAGATACAAATGCCTCCTCTAATGAAATGGAAATCTTTTGCAAAATCTAAAGAGAGAGTCAATGTTCTTCAATATCTACAACTATGCATAGGATTCCTCCTCTTACACACAGTACTCCCAAGATTTGTTACTATTTTAAACAGGTCTTTATTCTGTGCTGTTATACCTAGGCATCCTTGCCATTCTCTTCATTTTCCACAGAACTGAGCTCCAGGTTTCTTTCCAATTTGTCCACTTATTCTTCTTAACAGTGTGCCTTGCTAAGTATATATTGGTAATGTAACACTTGCCTTGTTCAAAATTTCAGAATTTTATGATGCACCTTGATTAAGTTCACCTAAATCCGTTGGTTGCCTCTATCTCCAGCAAGCACAACTCCATGGCTGTATAGAAAACATGAAACCTCTTCATAATCTTTATACATTGTACGCTTTTCTTTGAATGCCAAAACCACCAAATACCTAAATGAATTCGCTTGTGCCTCAGCCTGTCCTTAGAAGTCTGCCTACCTCATTTGGCCTAAGCTCTAATTGTCAGACACACCAGTGCCTCAGGAACTGTAAAATATACTTGCAAGCTGCACATTCATAGTACGTTCTTACCTACTAACATACAGCTCATTATCAGACAGATCAAAACTCACTGAAATGAATAGAAACATTTAATCTAGGTTTTCTCTCTCAAACCTGCAAATTGCTTGACTGCCCTCAGGCTCTGCAACCACAGCTGAGAATTCAATGTGCTCCCTGTGAATTTGAGATAACAAGGAAGTGAACAGAAGTGTAGCCATACAGTGAAGATTGAAATGGTAGAAAATTTAAATAAGATAATAGAAATAGAGGGGATCCCACATATAACTTCAGGAAAATCCTCCTATCTAGACAAGATAATAGCCAGTTATAAGAAAACAAACTATTGTAAAATGTGATTGGAAATTAACTTAAAGACTGCTGGATGAATTCAAAACTATATATGGTAGGTATTTTAGTAACTACCCTAACTTAAAAATTAAACTTAAATAAAATGAACCCTCAAGCAGAAAGCTATGACTTTGACTCTAATGCAGAATAGGCAAGAAGAAACAGTGCTTATATTTAGTGACAAAGTACACTTAAAAATCAGAGTAATTTTCTTCAGTTTGACCAGCTAAAAAATAGATATCTCTTACAGAAATGTGCAATAGACTTTTTGAGAGCATTATTTCAAGGATTATTTGAATATCACAACATCAATCACTCATTCTGCAAGAATGGCTCAGGACAGAAATGATGTGCTAAGATAGACTGCCCTCAAATGCATCCTCTTTTAGGATGTTCTGAGATGTCAGATAGCAACAAAACCTGTTCTGCATAGCACAGCAAAAGAGCTAAAAAGATGAATGCTGATTTGACCTAGTTTTGTACAAACCTTTCATCTTATGAATGAAGCTATCTCCCAGCTTGAAGAATAATGGAAGAATAATGGAAAAGTGCAGAAGAGAGAGAAGAAAAAAAAGGATAATTTGTCCCCCCATGGACTGGGAACACCGGATCAACTGTAAACAACAGAAAGAAAAATCATGAAAAAGGACAAAATGAATGCAGAGGTCTACAAAACAGTACTGGCTTTGTTATTTTCTCTGATCTTGGGAGGACAGATGTTGGATGTATTTATGATGGTTTGTGACATGAAGACTAGGATTAATTTTCTGTGTTCTGCTCTGGCTGCTTGATTAATTCTTGATAAGCCCATCAGAGGTAAGCTTATAGGTACTGAGGTATTATAAAAAACAGACAGACCTAGAAGCTTTATGGATTTTCTTTTTAAGAAAGTAAGTCCATTTGGTTTAACAATTTCAAAAGGAATTGAACAAGGAATTGAACAAAAAATGCTTATGTGCTTTTAATATCCCACTCTCCACTTTTGACTAAATCCTTTAGACTTGTCTCAAAAAAACTTTGCTATATAAAGGCATAATATCTCCTCATGTCAGTGATCCACTGAGAGGACAGATCCATAACTAGAGTAACAGCCCTTAAAAAGGGACTGATAAAACAATTAGTCCAAGAGAGCTCAGCAAGAAGAAGGCTGAATGCTGTTTTTTCTAAGAGCAATTAGTAAAAATTGCATATGTCAAAATGCCTGTGGTTGTGCCAGGAGGGTGTTCATTAGCATTATCTATTTTGCAGATTGTACAAATATTTGGTTTTAAGAATGATCTATGGACATGTTTCCCTTCATTTTGGATAGATTATTCTGCTGCAGTAGCATTTTCCGGTTTCTAACAATAATTCCTTTTCTTCTCACAAACACCATTCTGTCAAGTTTACTGCCCCAGTCTATCACGGTGCTTTAGCTGGGCTGCAAAGATCCCAACCTGGGAATTGACACTTCCACGGCTTTCCAGCTTTGTCTTAGATGTTCAGTTTCAGCCATAAGAGCAGAAGCGGATATAGTTCATCCTAGCTAGGGATCTAGTACAAGGATCCACAGAAATCCAAATTATTGCTTACATATAAAGGTGAGCTTTTTAGTTTTCACACATCACTAATCCATTTAGTTCAGCCAAGTTACTACAACTCATAGAAACTGAAGATTTTCATCTGGTTTCTGGTTTTTAAAATAAAGAGCTGAAACACCTCCTGAAATATCTTTCAGCAGAACTTGATCATCATCTTTCTTTTTTTTGCAAAAAGAATGTTAAATAATGTAGAACTATCTTAACTGGAGCACTTCAACTGAAAGAAAAAGTTGGTCATAAAATAATAATCTGAACCAATTTTAAAAGTTTATGCAAATACATTATGCTGTGAATTAAAATACATAATTTAGATTTCTTTGAATAAGAATGACTCAGCAAACATCAGATCATTCAGAAAGTAACATGAAGTGAACATGCATGGTCTTGCAGTATGTGTAGTTAGTGTAGTAAACAGTAGTTCTCACATCTTATTTAGCGTGAACAGGCTTACAAATAATACCAAACCATGATTTATAGCAACTTTTTACATTGAAGTATTTTGTTACCATCCCAGGGAAATATGCCCAAATTGGCCTGTTCCTTCTCTGAATTACTGATGTAACGAGTAATCTCCTCATCTCTAGACACCTTCCACAGAGGTCAGTCATGACAGCCCGTTCTCAGGGACAGCTTCTCTGGCACTGTCTCCTCAGATGATCTGTACAGATCCTTCAAATGAGCCCTTCAGGCTGACCTCTCTTTTCCCCATGTGGTCAACAGCTGTACTTTATTTGAAAAGGCTGACAGTCTGGAAGTATACCAAAAGTCAGGCAAGTTCCATCTGCACTACTTACACACCTCTGACTCCAAGATCTTTGCAGTCTTTTTGCTACCTGGCTGCTTTACCCCAAAGCACCTTCATCTGCTGCCGACAACTACACAGCGCCACTGGATAAAATCCAAAATATCACCTGCTGACTCTGAAGTCAGACTGTCAGGCACAGCAGAACACAAAATCTTTAGTATCCATCTCTCTTGAGGCCTTGATAACATCTTAGTTTCATAAAGTAAAATTGCCTCTATATTGTTACTTGTCTGAAAGCCTTCAAGAGTCCCAGCTGGAATACTTTTTCCTTGTCCAACATGTTCCCTTTCTTCTGTTCTGGAAGTGATTGGTGCTAGTATACAGACTAGATATTTGAGAAATTAATTTCTTAAGTACTGTCCCAGCATCTGATAGCTGTTTTGGAGAACGTCTGGTGTGAAGTTAGATGGAAGAGCTACAAGTGACTAAGAAGAACAGATAATGTATGGAAACATTTTATGTAGACACTAGGAGCCTTCATCTTCTTGCCTCAAAAATCTTTATAACTTTCTGAAAGTGACAGAATGTGAAATAGCTGTATAAAATTATTTGAAAATCACAAAAAATATAGAGGAAGAAGGTATATTAGAAACTGCATAAACTACTGGCACCAATTCTTATTCTGCTTTCTCTCAATATTACTTTCATTCTGAACATGTATATGCAATATGATGAGCAAGAAGAGTTGGTTTTTTATTAGATATGTTGCAATCTACACTATGCACTTTTCACAGTAGTCCACACTTTGCATCATAGAATATCCTGAGTTGGAAGGGACCCACAAGGATCATCAAAGTCCAGCTCCCAGCACTGCTCAGGGCAGCCCCAAGAATCACACCGTGTGCCTGAGAGCATTGTCCAAACATCTCTTGAACTCTGGGAGGCTTAGTGCTGTGGCCACTTCCTTCCAAAGAGCCTTTTTTGTATAAATGCTTCTTCGTAGTGGCAAAACTTGTGATGGGTCACCTTAAGGTAACAACTGCAAATGAAGCATAACTATTTTCATGGCAATATTCTTCAGGAGTCTCTGACTTAAATTTTTGTGACTCTTCATATCAGCTAACACATTCAGCTGATCTATTATCCTTTTGAGATGAAAAGTACTGCACTTTCTTTTGTTTAAGGCTCCAAATAAGTTACTATGACAAACTCGTCAAAACAAAATGAGCTATACAAGTCTCAGTGACTTCAAATTACTTTTGGGGCTAAAACAACCAGTGCTGAATTCCACAGCAGAGACTGGACAGAGCACACATTCCGTTGTAACAGGTGACTTAGTGCATTAAAAATGTTGCCATACAAAGTCACTTCTCGCCCTTCAAAGTGCCACTATCTTAAAAAAAATTCAGTACAACGTTATCGTTTAGATTGTCTCCAGTAAACTCTGCCTCTTTCACACATAAGTATTTATTGAACCACTAAAGGTGAAAGATCAGGTGCTGAGTATATGATGACAATACTCACAGCAACAGCCTCCAGAATTTGTTTAACAGCATCAGCAGCATCTCGTTCACTGTAGTAACCCTTTTCCACAATCCTACAGAGAAAAAAAGGATTAAGCATTAAGGTAAATAAACAGTGCACAGAGGTTTCTTTTTCAAAAATGAGACAGCAAGCAATCAATTTTAAATATGACCAGGACTCTAAAGTGCCCCCAAAAGACTTAAAAACAACCTTTTTGCAATTTAAGTTACCCAGTTAAATGAAAAACAGGAGATAAAATATCAACTAAGTAAGATGCTTGTAATATGTACATACTCAGTTCAAAGGTTCTGGTCTGAATTACTCTCAGACAGAACTAGACATCCTTTAGGAACTGTTTTTTCACTTTTATATTTAACTTAGTTCCCCTCAATTTAGCTAGCCCTTTATGAAACAAAACACACACAGATCTGAATTATTCAAGAGAAAGGGTTCACTAGTTTCAAATTATCCCTCAAGTGAAATGTGCTGAATGTGCCTTTTTTCCCCCCTCAGTAGAAAACTGGGGCTGCTGTAGTCAAAGAAACAGTTTCATTACAACTAAAACTACCTTTTTCTTTCTTCTTAACATAAACAGCCAGTATGCTATGCTTATTTTGTATAGATGAGATGTGATAGCTTGATTTGGTAATGCGTTGACCATGTGGTGCTTATGGGGAGTCCAGCAATTTATGGGTTCTGAAGGTCCTGCAAATCCATATTCTTTTCTCCCTTTGCTTTTCATCAGTTCAGTCTTGCAAAATAAAGAAACTTTCAACTTTCTTCTTCAGTATTATCTCCCTGGAACCTTACATGATGAAAACACTAAGTTCTGCAAGAACTGCCATTAGAGAATGAAACATTATAAATGCAGAGTGCAGTTAAACAGAGCCAGCAGAAGATACAGATTTGCACAATTACACATGAGAAGTTAATAAAAGAAGGATCTATCATTAAGATGGACAATATCATGGTTACGACACCCAACAGTCTTTTTACTGTTGTTTTTAACTGTGCACAGTATTTGTGAACTACAATAATTCTCCCTCAGAGAGTCACTTTAAAGAGAAAGCATAGCCAGGTCTTGTCTAGAAACAGAACCAGTGGTGCCTATGAGAGGTTTTTCAAAGTTATGTCCTGCAAGCACACAAGCCAGTTTTACAAAACAATACCCTAAAATCCCCACAAAGCAATACAGCAAGAAGCTTGTAATATCTGAAGTCAGAAGTCACTGGAAAGACCTTCTGCCTAAGGTCCATAAAAAGACTCTCTGGTGGCAAGAAGCCTATACCTCTTTCTCCCCACTGCTCCTGCTTTGCAGTAACTTTTTATCACTTCCTTTCTCTGTAATAATAGACTCATATTTAGTTGCCATCAGTGCAACACCTCATAGCTTCACAAAAGCTGATGGGAAGGGTGTTGACTAATGTACATATGAAAAGCACTACTACACGCTCATTAGAAGATCAGGTGCAATAAGGAACAATGCAAAGATAGTACTCCAACAGAAACTGATACAACAAGCATGGTACTGTGGAAAATAGTCTATTCAGGGATATTCCTAACTGGCTGCAATTGCTTTACCTTAACATTCATCATGTTCACAGATAACTAAGTCTATTGATGTGACATCATCATCATTACCATCCTGGCTAGGCTTCAAGAACGAAGATTTGGGAAGGGCTCTACCCATAATTGTTACAGGCACACTGGTGGCTGAAAAGGCAAATACGAGACAGGCACGTCTGGTTGCAAAAGGCACAGCAGAAAGACTCCTTAGGTGGTTATTCTGCAAGACATGATTCTTTCTGCATTGTCTTTTCTCCTCAAGAGTGATCCTGCGTGCGTTCTCAAAGGAAGCAGCAGCATTATAGATGGTGTGTCTCCAGACCTCCTGATTGGAGGTCAGAGTAGACCAGTTATGATGATCAATATGGCCAAGGCTGAGAAGTTGTTTCAGGGAGTCCTTGTATCTTTTCTTCGGGGCTCCTCTCTTGCGGTAGCCGGTGACAAGTTCACCATAAAGCAAGATCTTAGGGAGGTGGTGGTCCTTCATCCTTGAGATGTGCCCTGCCCAGCGCAGCTGTGTTCTCAGCAACATGGCCTCAATAGTTGTGACTGCTGCTTGTTCTAGAACAGATGTATTGGTCACATAATCTGACCAGTGGATGTTTAGGATTGTACGGAGGCAGCGTTGATGGAAGCGTTCTAGGAGATGCAGGTGGTGGCGGTAGATGACCCATGATTTGGACCCATATAAGAGAGTAGACAGCACTATGGCTCTGTAAACACTGATCTTGGTACTTTTCTTCAAGTGTTTATTTTGCCAAACTCTTTTATGAAGCTTTCCAAAGGCACAGTATGCCTTTGCTAACCTGTAGTCAATCTCTCTGTCAATCTTACTGTCCGAGGAGATGAGGCTACCTAGGTAATTAAACTGCTGGACTGATTTGAGCTCTGATTGGCCAATGGTGATATGGGGATGATGGGAGGCTTCCTGAGGTGCAGGTTGATAGAGAACTTCTGTGGCATCAGTAGCAGCAAGTAATTCCTCTCAAGCAGCTCTTCTATTTCACCATGATTTCTTAGCTGCATAATTCCTTGGCCTTATTTCTAGAAATTTGTTTGGTTTGGGTTTTTTTGGGTTTTTTTGGGGGGGTTTTTTTGGCAGCCCTATAGCTAACATCACATATGCGCTGCTTTAGCACCTTTGATTTTTTTTGTACCTCTCTGCTTTGGTCATCTGTTTAAACTGTTAGGGAGAGCCTTACTGGCAATTATCATCACAAGGTTAAAACAAAGTAAAGCTTATCTCATCGAGCTATTATGTTAGGGTTTTAGCGTGAAATGTAGGAAAGAGGTTACAAAAAGCCAAAAATTACACAATAAAATGCTACATTATACTTGAAGGTAAGATTCCTCCTTAGCTATTTCAGGCTGAATTATCCTCTTCTATTAGATTACATGGTGGGACCTGAGCCCCAGTGATGCTTTTGCTTAGTTCTTTTTTTCCCCTCAAGCATACTAGTTTTGATTCCTCCTCCTTTTGAACTCAAGTAAAGTATTTAGTGTCAGCCAGGCATACCTGTCTGTAGTATCCCACCTGCCCACGCATTGGGTCCAAGAGGTGCAGGATGACCTTGTGCACCTGACTTCAGAAACATATGAGGCAGGTTTTAAGGTTTCAACAGGATTTCTAATTCTCTGGGTCACACATGTGACTAAGATCAGAGAAATATGAAGCAATGTAGCTACAATTCAATTTACATTTCTCCCTTAATCCAACAATTTCCTCATTTTACAGTAAGGCAACATAATCCTTTTTCTATCTTTTTCAAACAGATAAACTGGGGGAAGGAAAAAAAAAATACATCTCTTAAATGCAGTCTACTTCTTTGTATTTTTCTCCATTCAACAAAACCAAAGAAGAGATGAGGTTCTGAGCTTTCTGCCAATGCCCAACTAATGCAGAAATGAAAACCACTAATTACCTGACCACTGCAAAGGAGATCAAAGAGATGCTCAAGACTGCCCTCTTGTTGACCTCAAGAGGAGCCCACCCTGACTTAGACAGTATATGGGGGTAAGGATAGCACGCTGCTCTCATTATTTACATTAAATATACAGCAGAAGAATCCCACAGACACTGTAGATAAGCCTTGGTAAATTTACGCTTTAAAGTAATAAATGTAATGAAATGTGGGTCCATATTTCAGGAGAGTAATGAAAACAAACTGTAGAATTATTGTGCAATGCATTTGACCCATCCTCTAATAACATGAGTTACACATGAATAATGGACCCTGTCAGGCCAATTACAGCTTATGTCACCTGCAGTTAACTTTCCAGTTTTCCAGAAGTCAAGAAATGGAAGTTATTGAGAATAGACATCTAATTCTTAATAATAATCTAGCCAATAGAAAACCTAATCTTCTGTAACAGCAATCAATGAAAAAGACATATTGCTTTCTAAAGATGAAAATTTATTTCTAAGGGCACTCTGATTTAGAACTAAAACCTGGTTATTACACAACAAGGAAGAGTACTGAAAGAAGATTATCATGTAGTTTAGATCATGTAATAAAGCTGGCAGATCATTTGCATATCTATTTTTTGCATCTTCCTTGCACTAGTTTACATAAGACAAATGGTAGGTGTGCCAGTTTGCTTCTTTATAACAGCACTCCTACCTGAGATGAACGAAGCTTCTTTACAAGGATTTTTCAATTTTAACCTGCAGATTAACAATGACTCATTGCTCTTTTTCCCCATAATGGGAAGGAAACTTGCAGAAATGACTTATTTTGTTATTATTGAAGCAAACCCAGCTATTTATAGCTAGTTTGCAGAATGATCTTTAAGAAAACTATGGTTGGAGGTAGATTAAACCTTTGCTGAAAGGACAGAAAGATAGGAACAGCAACAATAAGGAATTAATTAAATACTCTCTTTGATACACAAATGAAGAGCCAAGTATACCAAAAGAGTACTTGACAGAAAAACTGAGAAAAACATCTGGGAATCCAGAAATGCTTAAAGTCAAACAGAATAAACAAAAAAACCTCTGAAAAACACTGAATTTGGTGCTGCAAGGATCCAGGAAATTCAAGACAGAAGTCCAAAATTAAGACATTCTAGAGCAAGCAAAAATGAAGTGCTGGTTTGTGCAGAATCACTTTTTCATTCATGCTTGTGTGCACACACTTACTGAAATATGCTTATTCAGTTGTTTACACTTACATGTGGTGAGACACATGTTTCACAGAGCAACCACTGATGGATGTCAAACCACAGGTCTCCTAAGACACCACCTACTTTAATCTTGTCTTTCCAAGCACACATGAACATATTTGAGACAAATGTTCTTCATTCTATACAGAGAAGCAGTGAAGTACTTCCCAAGGCCCCCTCCTCTCTGCCCCTTCCTGCTATGTGCAGAGATGGAGATGCCCTTTCAGAACAGCCCCAGTCCCCAGGGTGCTGAGATGCACCTCTGCCTCCCTGTAGGGTCCGGCCACCCAACAGAAACCATTCCCCTGTGCTCCCCAGCCCACAGCCCTCAGCTGCACCATCAAA